AGTTATGTGCGAGTGGCTTCTCTGGAAGCTCAGACTGGAGATCTCGAGAAGCAAATCGCAACTTTGAGGGAGACTGACTATCTTGAGAGGAGTCTGCTGCTCACTTAGCAGAGTTTAGTGGGGACAGGTAGTGGAGAGGGAGGAGATAAGACAGATGGGGAACAGGCATGTAGCTGGGTGACAGTGGGGCAAGGAAGCAGGGGGGAGGGAAGAGGAAAGGTCTAGCTAGTCCTGATTTAGTACAACCTAGCAGATTTGCCCGTTTGAGTGAAGATGTTGGGAGCATCAGCTCAGGAGTAGCTGTATTAGAGGAAGCTGTTACTTCTAACAGCCGAGGTAACAGCCCCCCTAGTACGGGTGGGGATCAAAATGTAAGGAAGGCAAGACAGGTTGTGGTGGTAGGGGACTTTATCCTTAGGAGAGCAGATAGGGCAATCTGGCGCTCTGATCGGCTCAACCGGACAGTTTGCTGTCTCCCGGGTGCTCGGGTTCGGCATGTTGCTGACAGAGTGGATGGATTATTGGGAGGGGCTGGGGATGACCCAGCGGTCATGGTCCATGTTGGTACCAATGACAAAGTAAGAGGAAGATGGAAGGTCCTAAAGAATGATTTCAGGGAATTAGGTAGCAAACTTAAGAAAAGAACCTCCAAGGTGGTATTCTCTGAGATATTACCTGTGCCACGCGCTACAGTGGAAAGGCAGCGGGAGATTAGAGAGGTCAATGCGTGGCTTAAGTCTTGGTGCAGGAAGGAGGGTTTGGGGTTTTTATAGGACTGGGCCGACTTTGCAATTGGGTACAACCTTTATAGTAGTGATGGATTACACCTAAACGGGAGAGGGTCTGCAGTGCTGGGGGATAGGATGGCTAGAAGGTTGGAGGAGATTTTAAACTAGTAGTAGGGGGGAGGGTCATAGCAATCTACAAAATGGAGATAGGACAGAAAGGAGATGGGCTTTAGCACAGTATAAGGGGGGTGGAGACAGGGGGAGGGGCAAGCTCAGAACAGAGAAGCTATGTAATGTTGATAATTCACAAAAAGTACAAGTGACTCATGATATTAAATGTATGCTTACTAATGCAAGAAGCCTAAATAACAAAATGGGGGAACTAGAGGCAGTAGCATACACTAAACAATATGATATAATAGGCATAACTGAAACATGGTGGGATGAGACACATGACTGGGCAGTTAACTTAACCCCTTAAGAACACATGACATGTGTGACATGTCATGATTCCCTTTTATTCCAGAAGTTTGGTCCTTAAGGGGTTAAATGGGTACATGTTATTTAGTGAAAAGTGAAAGTGTAGGTACACTAAAAACTGAAACAGAGGTGTTAGTTAATGAAGATCAGGAAAAGGCAGGAATTTTAAATAACTATTTCTCCTCTGTATATATTAAGGAAAAACCCATGTGTAAATGATTGCTACTAAAAACTTGCAGAATAATTTTAATTGGTTAACTCAAAACAAGGTGCTGCAGCAACTAAAGAAAGCTAATATAAAAAAAGCTCCAGGTCCTGACGGTATCCATCCACGTGTACTTAAGGAACTAAGTGTAGCAATAAGTGAACCTCTGTTTTTAATCTTTCAAGATTCTTTTCTTTCAGGAAGTGTTCCGGAGGATTGGAGGAAGGCAGATGTGGTTCCTATATTCAAAAAGAGTTCAAAATCCTTGCCTGGAAATTATAGACCTGTGAGCTTAACTTCCATGGCTGGTAAAATATTTGAAAGGTTATTAAGAGATAATATTCAAGAATTCCTTGAGAAGAACATGGTTATCAGCAAAAATCAGCACGGTTTTATGAAGCAAAGGTCATGTCAAACTAACTTGATTGCGTTCTACGAAGAAGTAAGTAGAAGTATAGATCAGGGTGTTGCAGTGGATATGATCTATTTGGATTTTGCCAAGGCATTTGATACAGTTCCACACAATAGATTAGTGTTCAAACTCAAGGAAATCGGTCTAGATGAAAATGCTTGTTCTTGGGTAGAACATGGGCTTAAAAACAGAGTACAAAGAGTTGTCATTAATGGTACATTTTCAAGCTGGACAGAGGTGGCAAGTGGTGTCTCTCAGGGGTCTGTTCTAGGACCCCTTCTATTTAACATGTTTATAAATGATCTTGAAGACATCATTGAAAGTCATGTTTCAGTGTTGGCAGATGACACAAAACTCTGTAAAATCATACAATGTGAGCAAGATATTACTTTGCTGCAGAGGGATTTAGATAGACTGGGGGACTGGGCACTCAAATGGCAGATGAAATTTAATGTTGAAAAATGCAAAGTTATGCACTTCGGCGTAAAGAATACACAAGCAACGTATACCCTTAATGGAAGCGAATTAGGGATAACAACACACAAAAAGGACTTGGGAATTGTTATAGACAACAAACTATGCAACAATGTGCAATGTCAATCAGCAGGGGCCAAGGCCAGTAAGGTATTGTCATGCATGAAAAAGGGCATTCATTCTCGGGACGAGAATATAATTTTGCCTCTTTATAAATCACTGGTAAGACCACATTGTGACGAGACCAATCTCGCCACTGTGCATTGGAGGAGCCTGGTTGCCCGCCTGCTGCCTTTAGACTATGGCCCCATATTGAAATGCTTGATTTTCCCCTGCGAAGACACGAAAGCCGGGTCATTCAACTGAATTTACCTGTTTTGTGCAATGGCTGCACAGTTATATATTTTTATGTGTTTTATTGTCTTTTGCTGCCATGTGTTCAATGGAGTTTTGCCTCTGTCCTTGGAGATAATTGGATTACTTCCCAATTATCTCCAGGATAGAAGACTCTGTGGAGCTGGTTTTGGGCAGAAACGCCATGCTTCATTTGGTCACAAAGGACTTTGATCTATCTTTTGAACCAATGGACCAATTTGGATGATTTTGACATTTGTTTGTATTTGGAGTATGCTGATTCTGAAAATGTAAGTTTTTTTTTTTATGCGAATGTGATGCATACTTTTAAGTTATGAATAATGTGGAAAAACTGTATTTCTCTGCCGGTGATAATTACATTACCCATTGTGTAAGGTAATCACAGGCAGAGGGGAGGATTTTGTGTGGGAGTGTCTGAGTGTATTGTATGTGTTTATTGGTTGTTTTACAAAACCCTGTGGGTTGTACTAATGTGTATATAAGAACAATAAACAATAAACCCACAGCTCTGGCTGTTCACTGCTTGACCCTCAACACAGAGCTTTGTCTCGTTCTTGGGGGGATTTATTGTATGCTGTTCCAGTTTGACTGCTAGGAGTGTAAACCTATTCATTTGGTTTTTCCTATTCGGCTCTTTACGGCATTCATATGGTTTCCTGTTCGGCGGATTGGTGTTCTGCAGTAGCTGTGCCTGTGTCTCTGGAAGGGAAGATCTACTAAACGGCGGTTTAACCCTTTTATGCCTGGGGGTGCCGTTACACACATATTGAATATGCTGTGCAATTTTGGGCACCTGTTCTAAAGAAGGATATTATGGCACTAGAAAAAGTGCAGAAGCGGGCTACAAAATTAATAAAAAGGAATGGAACATATCAGCTATGAAGAAAGGTTAACAAATTTGAACCTATTTAGTTTAGAAAAACGTCGCCTGAGAGGGGATATAATAACATTATACAAATATATTCGGGGCCAGTACAAACCATTGTGTGGAAATCTATTCACAAACCGGACTTTACATAGGACATGAAGTCATGCGTTTAGACTGGAAGAAAGAAGATTTCGTCTAAGGCAAAGGAAAGGTTTTTTTACTGTAAGAACAATCAGGATGTGGAATTCTCTGCCTGAAGAAGTGGTTTTATCAGAGTCCATACAGATGTTCAAACAGCTACTAGATGCATACTTGCGAAAACAGAATATTCAAGGATACAATCTTTCAATGTAGGGTAATAACTGCTTCATCCAAGGATAAATCTGACTGCCATTCTGGGGTCAAGAAGGAATTTTTTTCCTAGCTTGTTGCAAAATTGTGCTTCAAACTGTTTTTTTTTTGCCTTCTTTTGGATCAACAGCAAAAAACAAATGTGAGAAAGGCTGAACTTGATGGACGCAAGTCTCTTTTCAGCTATGTAACTATGTGAGTGTGATTTTAACTTCTTTATGATATTATTGTTGTTAATAAATTACTATACTATGATTATATATATTTTTTTCTCTTTTTCTCCCATCTATAGGCATTTATCAACTGAGTGGTAAATATTGCCACACCTGTGTGATTGTGGCACCCTATCTTTTATATATATTCGGTGTGATTATATACTGTACAATTTGGTACCTGGAAGTGCCTGGTTCTAGCTCACCATTAGGGGTTAAACTGTTCCTGAATGATTTAACCCCAAAGTCCTAGCTCCAGATCTCCCTGCTCCTATGTCTTTCCATTTACTCAAATTCTGAAAACCAGAAGGTTTGGACAGCATTGGGCACTTAGAATTCTGACATTAAACACCTGGCATGTATATCCAGCTTTGCCTGCCTGACGGCCCTGCCTACTGAAATCCTGCGGTGGGCTCTCTGCCTTTTACCTCACACGGTGGTTTCCTGATTCAGGGGACGCTGATGGTTGTTGGTATAGAATTCCCTTTGCTGTTTTAGAACTGCATGGTACCTTCTACACACCATCAGTTTTGTAATTATACAAAGTTGTTCTGCCTCTTTTAAAACAAAATTATAAAATGACTAAAGTATTCTAAAAGGAGTTGTAACAATAAAAAAAACTATTTGAAGACTTTTAATACATGCTAATGTGATAGATAAAGTTAACACAGTTGTTCTTCCAAGTTTAAAATGAAGAAGACTTGTAATAGATGGAATTGACATGGTACACTTACAACCAGCTCTCTCGCAGGGTGGTATGTGCGCGGTGGTTAGAGGGATTCCCTGATCTTCTGCGTTCGTCTATGTTTGGGGACATTTCCTCAAACACAGACGAACACAACAGAGAAAGGAAACCCTCTAAACTATGTTCGGGAGAAATTTCCCTGAGCATAGATTAGAGGGATTCCCTGCTCTTGTGTGTTCGTCTGTGTTCGGGGAAATTTCCCAGAACACAGACGAACACACAAGAGGAGGGAATCCCTTAAATCTATGCTCAGGGAAATTTCCCCCGAACATAGATTAGAGGGTTTCCTTAGAGGAAATTTCCCAGAACACAGACATGCACACCAGAGGAGGGAATCCCTTAAATCTATGTTCGGGGAAATTTGCCCGAATATAGATTAGAGGGATTCCCTGCTCTGGTTCATTCATCTATGTTTGGGGAAATTTCCCCGAACATAGACAAGCGCACCAGAGCAGGAAATCGCTTAACTCATCACATACCGACCAATTCGTTCTACGACCGGGTTGTAGGAACGGAATCCGGTCGGTAAGTGAGGAGTACCTGTAAGAGCAAATGCTGCCAGTTCTCTCTGCATCTTACACTAACATTTTTTTTTATTTTAAATCATACAATTATTTTATAATTATAAGTTTCATCACAATATTTTATCTTTATCAGGTATATTGATAAAGCACAACTGATCCCCATTTTATGTATTTGTTTACCCCTAGGGAAACTATGGGTCAAATGATAATTTATTTTTATTGTGTTATAAAGATAATTCCTTAAAATAATACAAATCATGTGCCAGGAATCCCCATTTACAACTGGTTTGACACTTATCTGGCTCTATCAATTCATTGTCTGAGAGCTTTCAGCTGGCACTCCCCAGCCAATTAATACTATTCAAGGTCGGTATGTTAATGCAGAAATATGAACTTTCTCTTTAGCATGTCACTGCAGAGCAGAAGGGCTGTGGGAACCTGACAGAGCTAGAAAAGAATGGTTTCACATTTTACCATAGGACTGTACCAGGCGACAACTGGCCCTATAATCACTATACTGGTGGAGTGGTTATGATGCTAAAAGTGTCCTTTAGAAAGATTTTTTCCCAGGGTCAGAGACAGCCCTAGGCTCTGTTTTCTGTGAGTGTTGTGTGTGAGAGTGTGTAGGGGCTGAGTGTTGTGTGTGGAGGAGACTGAGAGGTGTGAGGGAGGCTTAGTGCATCTATGTGTTCTGGTTAAGCATTGTGTGTGTAAGGGAGCCTGAGTGTGGCAGAGTGTGATTTGTGTACGTTTTGCTCCTCCCCTCCCAAGTTGATTCAGTAAAACATGTTCAAGATCTCTGATATCCCAGTGGAGGGTGAGTTGCATCCCTGGTATCCCATTTGAGGGTGAGTTGGATTCCTGGTTGGTCCGGTGGGGGAGCACCATCATCCTTGCCAATATCAGGTTCAGTCAACTTTAATAACTCCCTCGTGGTTATGGCACTCAGTCAATGAGTCAGAGTGATGGCTGTGGCCTGTTAGTCTTTGAGAAGTGCTGCATTCTGAGTCATTGGGAAGTGCGGGGGGACCACATGAGTACTTTTAAAGTGGTCTGTACCTGATATTTGTATAGACCATAATGTCCTACATCAAAGTGAGAGAGATATTTTATTCTCCTTACTGGCTCGGGATGCCCTACTCACAATTAGAGCTCCAGGCCAGAACATGGGCACACTGGACCTCTTTTTAAGCCCAGACCCCAGGTGTCCACTTTGGTCACTTAATGGGTAATTCAGCTCTGCTCTGGGTCCTCATCAAGTAGTAAAGGATAAACAAAGTAATCTTATCAACATAAAATGTATCCCCTATGAAGTAATAATACAGAGAGAGAGAACCATGTGTGTGTGACTCTTCCTAAGAACCCATGTAGATGAAGATAAGGAGAAGCAAATGTGGCAAACAAATGTAAAAGGAATATTCATGATTACATAGGTCAATTATAGACTTCTCACTTTGTTGTTTGTTTGTTTTTTGTGCTGCTAGCTCTATTATTGTGTGTGTCTGTATGCCTAAATACATTACAAAAAAGTAAATGAGATATATTCCTTGTTGTTGGAGATGTCATTTTAAGTTAGGGTCAAGTAAATTAAACAGATAAGGTTTGTGTGGGAGAAAACATTTGGAAAGCTTGCAGAAATAGAAAAACATAACATAATAAGTAATTCATCTATGTCCTTTTCCTCACTGTACCACCTGAAAAATAATAATTAAAACAATTTTGATATATTTATATTCATACCTGTAAAGTTTGGATGCTACACAACCAAAAACAGACTGCAACTCAACTCAAATTAAAAAAAATAAATGGAATGTTAATGAAAATATGAAATCACAGTGACTCTCCCATTTAACATCAGCAGGAAGTGGGTGGGGTCTGTTAGCTAAACAGAAATAAAACTTGTGAAAACAGGCATCATTTTATTTTTAATTGAAAGCTTCCTAGCACTATAACCATTAATAAGCTGCAGTCTCTTTAACAGCATATAAAACTGTCAAAGCTGCAGTCTCTTTAACAGCACATGGAGCAGCAATTGTCAGTTTTATGCATTGAAATAAAATTATTCTTTCTATAATTTACATTTAGTGTTCGTACATAGCACACAGAGATCATATAGATATTTAAAATAGTGCTTATATAGTACTTTTTAACTGCTACACTGGTGAATGGTTGCAAAGTATAAGAGGTGTGACAATTACCACTGAAAGCAGCGGAATTAGCAGCCACATTCTGGCGCATAACTAGGAAGCGCTGGCACCCCAGTGACCCCTTCTTGCAAATAGACCTGAGTGGGATATGTATGGTTGCTGTGTGTATTTGTGGTGATTGGTTGAGTGTGTTATGTATGTGTGAAGATGGCTGAGTGTGATTGTGTGTATGTATTGGTCTGGCTAAGTGTGGTTTTGTGGAGGATTGTGATTATGGGTGGGGTTGACTGAGTCTAATTGTGGGGGTTGTGTGTGAAATATTAATAAAATTAGTATAAATTTACTATTATAAAATACACAGGCACGCCCACACACAGGTCAGTACACACAGTGACAGCTACAGTTACATACAAGCATAGACACACAGAGGCACAAGCAAACATAGGCCACATCCAGGCATACACAAACACATATACACAGGAAGGCACAAATAGAGGATACACAGACAGATGTGCACACACAGATGCAGGTACAGACACAGGCATTAACAGACAGTTATACACAATCACAGGCATACAAAGACATATATGCAAACATGCACACACAGGCAATTATAGACACACACAGACAGGCCCTGCACTTCTAGCCCACTGGATCTGAGCTTCGTTGCTGTCATGGTGATCCACAGCCCAGTCTCCTCATTTTGTCTCAGCAGGGAGCAGAGTTTCCAAGACTTAATGACTAGACAGGGCAAGGGAGCATACATCATAGAAATTCAGGACTCCAATTTGCTGCCACACCCCTTAAGACACAACTGCCAGTAATATAATAGGAATTTAGTTTATTGCCAATTAATGTGAGGCAGAATTGTCATATTTATACTGGTCTCTTGGTCTCAGATTGGTAAAGGATGTTCATCACACAACAACACCACCTTTATTGTCTTCTTAAATATGCAACATGTACCTTTTTCCACAAAAGTAGTTGTAGAAATATATTTGCAGTAGCCAGGTTTAACAGCAGCCTACTGTACTTATGAGTGTCCTTCATGCTCCCTTGCTACTGACAATGCTTCTGATGCTGTCCACTCTGAAGATGGACAGTGATATATGGAAATCTGTTCATGTTAATTTATCTGCAGCAAAAGCCAAGTGTTCATGCATACTCCTATGACCTAATTCAGCAGCTATTTGTTTTGTAAACGTCTACATTAAAGGGTTAAGCACGCCTCTAGCGGCTGTCTTCCTGACAACTAATAGCTCTTCCGCCTCCATATCCCATAAAACTTGGTTCTTCAATCAAATGCTTTTGATTGGAAAAGCGCTGTGTTATGCTGGGCATGCGTTCTTAAACCCAATGCTACTCTGTGAGAAGCTTAGGATTGGATGGTATGGCGGGTAACGTCTGCTGGGATGCTGACAATTAGGGAAATGGAGCTGAAGGCTGTAGCAGGAGAATCTCGGTGCTTGAAATGAGGTTAGTTATCTTTATTTAAGTTTGCTTTTACTTAGCAAAGTGGGGTGGACAGTGATCATATCGCTATAAGGAAACTTACAGTCCTGAAATAACAATTGTCATCTATTTTTTCTTTACTGACCTATATTTACAGAAGGAAGAAAAAAAATATTCACCAAAATTTGTCTTAAAATACATATTTTTTATAAAATTGTCTTTAATCAGCAAGTGGTTTACAAACTAAAAATAATCTCATCATATTGGTAAAATATAGAACAGCCCTATTAATAGAAATGCTAAGATAAAGGTAAGAGCTTTATGTTTATTCATTTCCTCCCACTGAAAAGCTGTGATTGCATGGTGCTTGTTTATTGTATTATTGGGAAAGTCACGTTTCTTACAGTAGCTGTTATCTTTATCAGCAGAATAGAGAAGTACTTGCAATACAAAAGATATGCAAATATTAAAGGACCACTCTAGGCACCCAGACCACTTCAGCTTAATGAAATGGTCTGGGTGCCAGGTCCAGCTAGGGTTAACCCATTTTTTCATAATTATAGCAGTTTCAGAGAAACTGCTATAATTATGAATGGGTTAAGCCTTCCCCCTAATCCTCTAGTGGCTGTCTCATTGACGGCCACTAGAGGCGCTTGCGTGCTTCTCACTGTGATTTTCACAGTGAGAGCACGCCAGCGTCCATAGGAAAGCATTATGAATGCTTTCCTATGTGACCGGCTGAATGCGCGCGCAGCTCTTGCCGCGCGTGCGCATACAGCCGACGGGGAGGAGAAGAGGAGGATCGGAGGAGGAGAGCTCTCAGCCCAGCGCTGGAAAAAGATAAGTTTTACCCCTTTTCCCCTTTCCAGAGCCGGGCGGGAGGGGGTCCCTGAGGGTGGGGGCACCCTCAGGGCACTATAGTGCCAGGAAAACGAGTATGTTTTCCTGGCACTATAGTGGTCCTTTAACATTGACTGAATCAGAGCAGAATAGCTAATTGATGGGTTCAGAAAGATTATACCTTGAAGAGAATGTATAAGTTACAAAATGCATATTTCTTAATGCATTTGAGCAACACAATTTAAAAAGTGCACTTATTAGTTAACAGCTTAAATTGCT